CTTTAATGAAAGTGCTAATCATGAAAAGTCAAAATAAGGCAATATCATAAGTAAAAGGCATATAAAACTTTACATAAATCTTAAAACAAAAAATAAAAAGTAAAAAATAAAAAATAAATAAAAATACCTTCAAAAATGTGTGTTTAGTCAACAATATAATGGTTTGGTCAGAAATAAAATATTATACGTGAGTCGATTGAATATATCAAGAAGATACCGTACATAACAAGCACATTGACATCAAGCTCAATTTGCGGAAAGATGTGAACCGTAACAAAATTTAGCCATAATTTTGATTGGATGAATGTTAAAATTTTAGATAGTGAACCTTTTCACACAAAACGGTTAGTGTCAGAAATGGTTCACATAAAAATGCAAAAGAAAGGCTTGAATAGACAGAATGATACGGACAAGTTACCGGAGTCATACTCTCCTATCATACGATCTCTTTCTCCTTCATAGTTTCTTTTCCTTGTCCTATCCCCTCTACTGTCGGGTTTTAACTCTGCGGCACATAGCTAAGCCGCTGTTCATTGTCGTGTTGTCTTCCGTACGGTTCACATCTTTCCGCAAATTGAGCTTGATGTCAATGTGCTTGTTATGTACGGTATCTTCTTGATATATTCAATCGACTCACGTATAATATTTTATTTCTGACCAAACCATTATATTGTTGACTAAACACACATTTTTGAAGGTATTTTTATTTATTTTTTATTTTTTACTTTTTATTTTTTGTTTTAAGATTTATGTAAAGTTTTATATGCCTTTTACTTCTGATATTGCCTTATTTTGACTTTTCATGATTAGCACTTTCATTAAAGTGTGTTTTTATGTTGCCATATTAATTTAGATAATAAGTTTCAATTTTTATTTATATGCGTTTGTTTGATATTTTATTACATTGTTGAATTTAACTTTACTGTTTTAATTGTTACATTTTGTACGTGTTTTTGTTGGTTTGGTTAGAATTTATTTTGACGAATTTAAGAGGCTTTTAATTTCTGACTGCTCACGTGTTTGAACCAAGTTATGATGATTACCGACATACCACATAAGTACTTGGACTTGCTGTAAGAATTTGCGTCTCTAATCGGATTACGTAGACCAATTATAATGCGATCTCAGGACTACGACCATAAAGAGCAAGTTATATGATTATTTAAGAACAACGGTGAAGATGGATGATCGTCGGATTAAGCATGTTTTTATTTTAATGGCTTTAATTTTATTTGTTTGACTCTATACCATTTATATTATTATACACGTACGAATTTATTTATTTGTCTTCCGAATTTAATGTTAGACTTTGAAAATGACCGAAATACGGTTGAAACGATCGTCAGGCTTTATTGTTAGGCTTTATTGTTAGTATTAATTTTTAAATATATTTATTTTGCTAGCTACCACATGTTTTTATTTTAATTTTAGCTGTTACTTACTTTATGTTTCTTGACTCGTAGCTGTTCTTATTTTTATTGTTGTGATTCTTTATATTCTATTTATCCTAAAATTAGACAAATAATATTATCGAAAGCATATCATTTCGTAACTGAAATAACACAGACTTATACATACACTTTTGTGTTTTGGTAAGTCAAACTTCTCCGGGTAGATTTATCAAAGTGACAGCAACAGCATGTAGAGAAGAGTCGCAACAAATGCCACAAAAATATTTTGAAATTTCTAAAGTATAAACTTAACTTTTCAGAAGAGAAGCATCCATGACGATAGTAGTCCGAAATCTGAATTTTATAGACAACACGGATTGTAAACCGGATTGGTCTAGGGACGTTTAGAGTCATCAGATTGAATTCCACTGTTCAACCCGATTTAGAGATCCGATTATTTCACGTAAACACTCTTTAATAGTTGACTGCCTTTCCAATCGTCGAGGCTTTTCTACACACACACGCGCGCGCGCGCGCACACAGAAGTGTCGCATTTTAATTTCCCCGGGCAAATATCTCGAAAAATATAGAAGATATATAGAAAAATGTTTCAGATAAAAGTTACATGGTATAGAGGGAACCACGTTTTGGTCATGTCGTTTTTTTTTTCTAGTTGGAGGCGCTAAAAAGATATGAAGGTCACCTCCACTTTTTGATGGAATTATAATTCTTTTACACAATATGATTTCTTTAATTATTCTGTATATGTATAAAACTATTAAGATAATAGTATAAAAAAACCAATAGTTTACGAGATATTTTATACTTTATTCCGGAACATATTGACATAAAATATTAAATAACTCATACACTATTAATTTTTTGATAATCGTATTTTAATACTTTTATGAACAGAATAATAAGATGAATCAATTGGTATAAACAAAACACATAATTATTTTTAAAAATATGAGCAAAATGGATAATTTTTTAAGTAAGAAACTATATATTTTCTTTATACTATTGATTTATTTTATTATTCTGTTCATAAAAGTATTAAGGTACGATTATCAAAAAATTAATAGTTTATTTACTAGTTATTTAATATTTTATGTCATTATGTGCCGGAATAAAGTATAAAATATTTCGTAAACAACGTAAACTATTGATTTTTTGATACTACTACTTTAATACTTTTGCATGCAGAATAAAGGAATCATATTGTGTAAAAAAATAATACAATTCAAAAAAGTGAAGATAACCTTTATATCTTTTTAACGCCTCCACCTAGAAAAAAAAACGACATGATTAAAATGTGACCCCTTTTAAAACATGCACTTTTGTCTATAAAACATTTTTCTATATTTTCCATATTTTTTGAGATATTTGGCTGGCGAAATTAAAATGGGACACTCTGTATATGTTATATTTTAGTTTGTAATTTTATATAATATTGTAAACGAAATAGATTTCTAAATAAAAGTCTAACATAAATTTTATAAAAATTATATTACATGATCAAATGAAAATAACATAAAAGATGCTAAAATGATACAATATAATAAAATAAAAAATATTTTTGTTGTATATTTAAGAGTATAAAACATCGGCAGAAAGATTTTTCTTGCGTTACATTTCTCGATAATATAAGTAGAAAAATAGAATAAAAAATATAAAATAAAAATCATTGTGATATTCTATCTTCGAGATTTGCACTATAACATCCTAGACAACACAAATTAAGTCTATAATTATTTTATAAGATATTTTTACACCTCTTTTAGATAGGTCTTACAAAAGTATTTCAGACATGTTATAGTCTTATATATACTCGTAATATCAGACCTGTCCAATTTAAGCTCCGAAGCCGAAACGCAAAGCTATTCATGCAAAAAAATCAATATGGATACGATTTCGGAGAGTGTGAAGTGTTTACGCTTCTGAGCGACGCTTATCAATATTTTACAGTTCATACATTGCATTTTTTTTACGTCGATAGCTTTCCAAAATATTACACTCGCGAAATATTATGCTCGCGCGATCGCAAGCCCATGCGTACGCGCATTCGCGAATTGCGGAAATAAAGAGACACACATTAAGAAAGAAACACAAGACGCTTTATTTAGAACACACACAAAAAAACAGAACGATCGTATATGGCGGAGAAACTCAGGAGCACTCCAAATGCAATGACGTGTGACGTGATAACGTCCCAAGTCCCAACCGTAAAATCTGTCAATCTGTCAAAGCCATTAAACAGCTGAGCTATTGCTCGTCCCGGCGGCGACGACGCGACACGCTCTTCATGTGTTATAGGGTGCGTTCCGTTTCTCGCATGATGCGCATAATGCATCGTTTATCCTTGTTGCTCACCAAATGTTAAACAAGGACAATGGATGCATCATGCACATCATGCGCGATACGGAACGCACCTTCACTCAACTCAACCCGTTCGGAGACCGCACGGCACGGGTGTCGAATGCAAACTTATTTAGATATTTTAAAATCAAAAGACAAAGAGTATTTTAAAAACATATCATACACGGAGAAAATTTTATATTTAAAATTACTATCCCAGTATTCGAAAAGGGATTGAAATAAATTAAAAATTTTTAATCTATTTTAATTCATTCGAATAAAAATTCTTGATTCATGCATATGGATAGAAAGGAATTAAATGTGGTAAAATTGAATAATTTTCTATCCATATGGATAAAAAGGAATTGAATCGTTTTCTATTCATGTGTAGGATCCTATTCCATCATTTTCTATTCTATGTGTTGGATCCTATTCCTATTGCATGGCTTATTTTTTCCGCAAAACTTTTTTTCGATTAAAAGGAATACAAATTCTGTAGATTCAATCCCACGTCATGGATTAAAATGAATAGCATGGCTTATTTTTTCCGTAAAACTTTTTTTTGATTGAAAGGAATACAAGTTCTGTAGATTCAATCCCACGTCATGGATTAAAACGAATTGCATGGCTTATTTTTCTGTAAAATTTTTTTTTTATTGAAAGGAATAGGAATCCCGTAGTTTCAATTCCAAGTCATGGATTAAAATAGATTCAAGCATTGAATGGATTGAAATGGATTAAAAAAATCAAAAATTTAGATTCAGCAATGACCAAATGAATCTATTTAAATCTTTTTCCGGATACTGGGATAATGTGGTAGTAGCTACGGTCTTCATGTAAATTATAAGTTTAAATGCTATAGCTATTTTTTTTAAAAACAATAATAAAACGTAATTTTTACACTTTTTCATAGTAAAAATTTTTTATTACAAAATCAAAACTTGTTGAATGAAAGTTAATATTGTAAAGATAAGTACAAAATATATACCTAGCAAATTTTGTTTGTGTATCATAGTAAAAATTAACTGTTTTCATGTTAGAATATGGCTTAAGCACTGGTTTAATAAAATAATTACTTTATTTATGTGATGAAAATTAGTATTACCATAATAAAAGTTAAGTCAGAATCATGTTGTGAGGGTTCATCGAAAATACAAGACATAGTAAAGTGTAATTTAAAATTATATATATATATTAAAACTTAATATAAAATTTTCTCCGT